AAAAAAATGACAGTGTGCGGGATGTTCAATTTCCTCCTGCTCTGTCCCCATAGAGAATGCAGCATCTTAAAGCAGGGAAGTCATTGGTATTCACTGGAGTTTGCCTGGTTTCATTTTTATTGTTTCAGAGACTTATTACTCTTTCAGAGTGGTTCCCAGGTCTGCTGCCTTTTCTCGGTATATATGAGCTGAGTAGTCGGAAGAAACACTTTAATTACATTTTAAGTAGAATAAAAGCATAAGTATATTTATGAAAATCCTAACAGAAGGTGCAATGAGACCATTAACTTAAATCCCCAAAATACATAAAGTGTTTTTTCATAATAAAAAATCCATCATTGGTGCATTAAATTGTACCTGCATATTAAAAATTTGCCCTAAACACTAAATATTGCCTAAATGTGCACATTGTATTCAAAATTCCTCCCATAAAAAGTGTGCTGGGACTGTGGGCCAGCATCATCCATCTCCCAGGCTTGTCCTTAAATCGTTGCTTCTTGGATGGAGAGTCTTCCGTCACCCAGTAATGATTTTGGCTTTGCTTCTATGCTCTGTCATTGAGCGTTGTTTCTTCCAAGTCATCTGTGCTTTGGTTGAATTTGGTTTTAGTGAACCTGCTCAAACAGAAACAATGAAGAGAGAAGCAGAGGAGGAATTGTGGAGAGTGTACTTAAACTTGAACATAACAGAAATTTAAGGAGCAGATAGCAGTGTTTCCCTTGCGCCATCAGCAGCTAGTCTTTGGCCTGCATTCATAAATCTCTGACTTCCTCCGGGAGCAGAGTTCTTTCTGTCTCAACACTGGTGGAAGGACCCAAAACCTTTCATCAAGTTTGGTAGCAGCCATTCTTCTCCAGATAGGGTGTAGATTACTATGTGGTGATTACTTTCTTCCCAATAATATTAGCTCACAGAATTCTAATCAAAGCATTTGTTAGTTCAATTTATGTACTTATAAGGGAACATGCATAGCTTTTGACCTCTTTAAGATAGAAAAGACAACTAAAGAGCATTTTGTTCTGCCCAAAGGGAAATACACAGGAGAAAATCTTACAAAATGTGCTTTGATTTTAATTTATTAAAAGATATTTCAAAGCTAAAAGTATATTTAAAAGGACATCATAGAATTACTGAATAGCAGAATTACAGATAACCCCAGGGCTTGATTTTCTGCAGGCAGATTTCACTGATTGGTGGGTTTATTAGTGAGTACCCATCAATCACATGATCTACAAAAGGAAAACCAAACAGACAGAAAGTAAACTGACAGGGTGGTCTGAGAACCCTCTGTCTCTCAGGGAGGGAAGCAGGAAGTATGTCTGCTACACCTGCAGTCAGACACCAGTGCCAGGAGACCAGACATGAAGCGTATTCAACAGCACTGATGACCCAGTTTCTGTTCTTGCACTGAGAATTTCCAAACCAGCAAAGCAGCCCGGGGCTCACAAGTTGAAAGAACCATGTGTCCTGTCGTGGTTTCTCTGAGACCCTACTGGCTGTAGAACTATGGATAAAGTTTTACTTTATAACTACAAATTCAAATAATTGACTTTTGGTCTACTTTAGGCATAGGAAGGGATCTAAAGTCTAAATCTTTTTTCAGATATTTTGGAAGGTTGTGCTACCAGAAAAGCCATAGCATTTAAGTCCAGGTCTGTCCTAGAATTTTTAAAATCTCTGTAACAAAAGGAATCAAAAACCAGCACCTCGAGTCCAGAAAGCCCTGGCCGCCCCTCTCCCTTCTCCCCATAGTCATTTCACTGATTCTCCAAGCTGCGGATTAGAACACATGGTCTCAGTGATGCAGATGTAGTTATGGGGAGATTGGCTGTGAAATGGGAAGCGGAACCACTGCAGAAAATTCAAGCCAACATCACCACGTCCACCAGGAGTCAGGAGGCCGTAGCTGTCATCTGCAGGGGTCATATGTATCTGATCTCTTTCTCAGAACATCTCTTCATTTTTTTTTAATACATGTTTCCACTTATACTGATTCACATACTTCTTGGGTAGGAATGTGGGAGACTCATAGCAAGATTTCCAGCTTCTCTTGTTGCTGCTTCCCTGCACTAAGCACATATCTACATAAAATAAGGAAAAGTTCTACTTTATAAAAAGAATGAACAGGTAGGTGAAGTTGACTTGATGTCTTTGATATTCTCTTGCAAATTTTCAATGAGAAACAAGGATTTGTGGTTGAGCATGGGAGGCGCTGCTGACTGAGTGGATTTCAGTAGACTTTGACTCTTTCCCCTTAGAAGTCACTACTGGAGCAAGACAGTTGGGAAGGAATGGTGAATAGGGAGGAGTCACAACCCGCTGAGCCAATCTCCAGCCCATGCCCCACTGCCATAGAGCAGATAGGGTCTCCCTCTGTGCCCACCTGTGCCCCTTAGAATAGGTTCGCATGATGGGCTGATGCTCACCACCCCCCCACACGTGGAGATGGTCAGTGTGTGTCCCCATCCTGGAGAGAACATTCTGGAAACAGTAGTGCCCACATGGAATGCCACTGTTGTGTATTGTTGGTCCATGTCTGTTTCTTAGTCACTAGGTAAGTGACAACAATGAAATTACAAGAACCATGTCTAAATGTTAAGGTCTCAGGAAAGTCTTGCAACACTGCTGTGGTGTGAGCAGTGACTGCATGGGGGGACTGCCCCCCAGATCTGTCAGGAGTCAGAAGGGATTCAGGTGGCTTGGAGCGCTTCCCCCAGGAGTGGATCTATTGGGAGACTCCGAAGTTTCCCCCAGAGTCAGTTATCTTCTTCTGTCTTCCTATCAAAAAGAAAAACAAATCTGAGAACTTTTGAGATGGGTGGAAAAGGCAGGGGGAACTGAAATTGGTAATTAAATCATGACAAACTCAAAGTAGAATTACATTATTGGGAGTCAAATAATAGTTATTACTCAACTGTAAAATAATTGTCATTCATGGAGTAACAAAGACCCTATTCAGAACAGAAGTATCTGACTTTTACATCCCTGAAACTATTTTTAAATGTGTATCATAGAGCAGAATAGAAGTGAAAGTTTTGTGGCTTATTACACATTACGTGGTTATACATCTCCAGATTATATAATGGTCTATATAGAATTAACTAGCAATTGATTGCAAGTATTGGCTTAGTTTATCAGTACTCTGAAAATGTTTGGGTTTGTCCTGCATCCCATAGCACCTTATCCTGCAGTCAGCACTGTACAGTGTGGCTCTGCCCTACAGCTGCTCACGTAGAGCCCGTCTACTCCTGGCTGCCCTGTGTTTTTCCACAGTGATAAATGTGATAGAAGAACTATTATGATCATGACTCAGGGACATTCAATGAAGAGGGTCAATTTAAAACTCAGCTCTAAGGTTTGCCCCTTCACCTCGTATGTCACAAAGCAGAGTCAGCCCCCACTCTTTGGTGGCAGGGTTGCGCTGGGGACCATCTGAAGCCCAAGGGCGCGTGGAGCTGGGCTGCAGCTGTCTGCTGGGAGCTGACTCAGGAGTAGCAGCATCGCACCTGGCGGGGTGAAAAGGCATGGATGTTACCAGGCGTGGCAGAAGGGATTCTTGGCCACATTGCCATCCCGGTCAGACCTCCCCAGCCCTCACCAAACAGGTGCTTGACCTGGGATTTTCAGCTTCCAAAACCGTGAGCCAAACAAACCTCTCTGCCTTGAGAGTAGCCAGCCACTTCATGATTACAGAGACAGTGGGTGGGCACAGGCAGGATCTCCTGTCCTATAACCCTCATGCACCCAGCTGGGGAAATGAAGCTCTGTTTTGACATCAAAACCTAAACATATTGTAACCAAACAGTGCATTCATTCATTCATTTGATAACTAATTATTAAATTGCTGCTAGGAGGCTCTGAAGACATCAGTTTGACTAAATTGTCTTTCTGCTTCCTGTAACCACCTCCAAAAAGGAAGACTGGCAATGGACTAAAGTGGAAATAAAAGTCACAGAATTTTTTTCACCTGTCCACTGATAGCAGAGGATATTTTTATCCTAGTGTCTTGGTTACTTTTCTCTTGTTGCTGAGACAAAATACCCAACGCCCAAAATGAAGGAAGGAGAGGTTTATTTAGCTTATGGTTTGTGGAGGTTTCAGTCCATACTTGGCTGGCTTCAAGGCAGAAGATAGCAAAGCAACAAGAACAAAGGGGAGAATGGCAGCTGAACAGCAAACAGCCAGAGCAAACGGGAGGAATCCCAGCGAGCAGCTTCTTTTTCCCTGCCTTACTTTGTAAACAGGCTACCCCCACCTAAGGGGCGTGTAGCTCTCACATAATCTCCATGCCCTCCTCTTCCACAGGCTCAGGATGTATACAAAGTAAGTATCCTGGCTTCCTGCTGAGTCACTTAGCCAAACCTCTAGACTCCCCAAGTTGACACAATGTTTCAACCATAACACATAGTAATTTGAACATGAAAAAATATATATCCAATAACATAAAGATTAAAAACCCTGTGCAGAATAATGTTAAATCCTTAAATAAATAGACATCTAAATGCCCTTAAAAACAGAGAAACAAACCTCTGGTGCTGTATATGACAGGACTTTAGCCTTGGAATTGTAAGGTCTTAGCTTATTTTCATCATTTTAACCAAAAAGAACCATCTTTCAGTTAGCGACTAAGGAGAAAACTGTTCATCTCTGTACGTCTTGCAGGAATATTATAAAATGGTAATATAATGAGAAAAGTGTTCATTTTTCTATACTAAATATTCAAGTGGGATAGGCATGAACATGGGACTTTTGACTGGATTGTACAAATAAATCATGGCTTCACCCTCTGCCCTTCTGTGAACCTGCTGTTCACTGAGAGAAAGTCAAGGAAAAGCTACCTGCAGTACCTCAGGGGTGCAGTTGTCTGATGCTCACTGACATAGCTCCTGTGTCTTTCCTGTTTGACCCCATTCCATTTTCTCCAACGACCCCTTCCAAGTAGGATCACTCTGTGTACCCCACTGAATCATAATGCGTACTGTCACTTCCTCTCCTTCCAGAGCTTCTTCGAAGGACAGTCTGCACCGTGGGACTCCGCGAAGAAAGATGAGAACAGAATGAAGAACAGATACGGGAACATCATTGCGTGTAAGTGTGGGGGGGGCGATGGTGCTGGGGAGAACTTCCTGTTCGCCTCTGTCGAGGCTGGCCGCCAGCTCACACGGGGAGAAGCTCAGGTGCACTTACTGCTTCCTCCCGCTGTGAGAACTGGTGTTGTGCTCCCAGGAAGGGCAAGAAAAATGACCTGAACCCCCCCGCTATGCCAGTGCACTCTTGCAGTGGGCCCAGTTTTATGTTTAGATTTAAGACCTGGGTAACATAGGTAATGTTAAATGCTGAAAAGGAAAACACATTTTAGAAGGAGTTAACACCCTGCACCTAATGTTTCCCAGCGACTGCATGGGAACAAATGGAACTAATGATACACAGAGCACCTCACACAAGGAGCTTAGAGGCCTCTGCAAAGCATTAACTCATTAATCCTCTGGACGCTGGGTCAGGTAGGTCAGTAATAGCCCCATTTTCAGGGCAGAAAAGCGAAACTCGGAAGTTAAATGATAGTCCCCATATCACAATACTCATTAGCAAAAGAGCTAGGATTATGTCTCAGAAATTCCCAGTGCCTGTGAAACTGAACGTTACCAATCCATAATGCCTCAGACGGGTTTTAAATTGAGCCCAACCTCATTAATGTTCCATAACAACACCGACACTCATGCTGGATTGATGAGCTCCCTCTCCCGGGGCCCAGCCATCCATCCCCTGCATGAAGCTGCTCTGAGCCACACATGACTGCGCTGAGGTATGGAGCCCACGGCGGCACCCTGGTGGAATTAATACTATTTCCAAGGATACAGAAACTAAACAACAGCAAGGCCTGGAGACCCGCTAGCCCATCGTGTCTTATTACTTGCAAAAGGGCAAACTCGGAAGGTTTGCCTGTTCTAGACAAGCAGCACCTGGGCTTTCTTGATTGTGAAGGTGCCATCCAACACTGTTTGCCTAAGTCACCATTGCTGGGGTCGACAGTGCAGTCCCTGGTGGTGACCATCCCAGAACATGGTGCCCTCCTCTACTCCTCTCCTCACAGCTGGACAGAGGAAGTGTGCTTACATCAACTAGTAGTCCATCCCTCCCTCCAACAAATATTTATTGATCACTTCCTGTTTGCCTGACATTGCTGTAAAGATGATTAAATATAAGTGTGTGCCACTAATACAGGTATGGTGGCTCATGCTTGTAATCCCAGGACTTAGGAGGCTGAGGCAGGAAGATTGCTGAGTTCTAAGCCAGCCTGGACTACACATAGTGAGACCCTATCTCAAAAAAAAGACCCATGGAACAGAAGAGAAGAGCATAATAATAGTCACACTAGTAACAGTAAAAGACAGTGTTTCTCAAGTTTCTGGCCCAGTGGTCAGGGGTAAGTCATAAAATTGCTGAGAAAATGACCCATTATAAAGTAGAACTGAAATGCCACATCAAAACAACACTGATTGTTGTTACCTGGAAAAAATTATTATACCTTTTCTGCTTTATTCTTCCTGTGTTACTTGTCTTCAGCTTAGTAAACCAATAGATCATTTAAAATTTTTAAAAAAAGAAGTCGGCCTTGAAGTCTCCAGCTCTAAACAAGTCATGGCAGGTAGCCACAGGCAGCATCCTGCCCCTGAATCATCAGCCGCTGCCGACTGCAGCCCGCTCTTCCAATGTGGGCTAAGTGGTTTGCCTCCCCGGCCCCTGCCCTACTTCCAGGGCTGTAGTCTCCAGCCTTCAGCTGCCACCAGCACTGCCTGGCCTGGCGCTCTTTCAGGGTTTCTGCACTGGGCCATGTTGCTTTCATCCTTTCTGGGAACACTGTCCCAGAGACTTCTCTGGTCCCTCTCTGGCCAGCTCCCACAGCACCCAGAAGCTTCTCCCTGTGCATCTATGCTAGGTTTTCCTCTAGTTCTCTGCTTTTAAAAGAAATCCCTCTAGAAGTGTTATTTGTAATTGGTCATTTATGTAAATATACATTTTATATATAGTGTTTGTATAATTCTCTGTACAGCCATGTGCTGGCCTATACTAAGATAACAGTCATACCACCTGCCATACAATCATTGGTGCTTCTCAGTAGAGTATCCAGATCCTCAGAACTGGCATCCCAGTCCAGCTAACTAGGGTAAGTTTGATACCAGGAGTGGGGTGAGGATAAACCACTACCATTGGCTTCAGTCACCCAGCTGCCCCAGCTCCCATGATGTCAGTGGTGGTGGTGGTGATGGGGTATTCCATGCAGTGTGAGTCCCCTGGTTGGTTCTGATAACCCACTGCCGGCTTAGCACCAGGCTGAGCATCACTTTTTGCACTGCTTCATTTAGACAACCTGTGTGTCTTTACAGCAGCAAAAATAAATCCTCGCTATTGCCACAGATGTGGTGGGGTTTGAGGAGTAAATATAAGAATACCCCCCATTATGGTTTGTGTCCACATGCCCGCCCAAAGCCTCAGGCAGTCGTGGGGCGGGCTTCTAGAGTTTTTGATTGACTCACGGTCCAATGTTGGGATTATGGGTGTGAGTGCTACACCTGCCCTGGGGCAGCATAGCTTGTATACAATATAAGGGAGTGAAAGAGGCTTGTATGCTGCTGCTCTTCCCTTTTGCTCTTGTTGCTTTTGCTGTTTTCCACCACCATGAGCTGCTGCCCTCTGCCATGTGCCACTCTGCCTTAGAGCCAGCCGAGTATGTTGCTGAAACCTCCACACACTGTGAGCTAAATAAACCTTTCCTTCCCTAATTCTGGGCGTCAGGTATTTTGTTTCAGCAACAAAAGAAAAGTAACTGAGACACCACCTAACCCTTTCCTAGGTGCGTGCCCATAGGTGCACAATGAGTGCTTCTTTTTAGGTGTGGAGAATAGTCCTGCCTTCTCTCCACCCCTGAAAGTGTGTGGACCGCAGAAAGGTCAGTTTCACTTGCTGGGAAGTCTGCCTCACAGAGCTAAGGCCTTGGGGGCCTCACCACTCTCTAGGATGAGAAACTGGGAGACTCTGACCCTTATCTGAGAGATTCTTGCTAGTGCTTTACAAAGAACATAAAAAGCGTTTTTAATGAGCGCAGTCATTGTTTTGCAGCAGTGTTTGCATATAAAATGGTGTTAATGGTGCTTAAAAACTGTTTATTGGCTTTTGCTCTTAAGTAAGTTAAACTTTTCCCTTATTTACACTATAAACTTGCTGAGCTAGCCCTTCCCAAATGGAAACAAACGTTCCCTCTGCCGTTACTGCCACCACACACAGACACCGCCTCCTAATATCTCAACAGCCCCTACTTATAATTAACTCCACGCTGAAGGCGCGCCCCAAATCTCCAGCTAACAAGGCAGCCCCTGGCAGCTGCTCCGCATTCTGGGGACTGGCAGTGGAAGAGAAGAGCCAGAAGCCGCGGGAGCTTCCCGGGCAGATTTCCTGCGTCCTCTCTTCTATCCTCCATTCAACAAATCCATACTGATCTGCCCCGTGCCCGGCCCTGTGCCAAACTGAAGTCAGTCTTTCCACAAATATTTACGGAGTGCTGTGATACACCAGACACGTGTCTGTGTCAGAAAGAGCAGGGAACAAAACCGGCGGAATACTTGCAGGTGGTGGAAAGCTCTGCAGGGAGCTGGCTTTGCAGGGAGAGTGCATCCCTGCAGGGGAGACAGGATCAGGTGTGTTCCGTGTGCTGCGAGGAAACACATGCACCTTAGAAAATATAGCAGGGAGGGAGACGGCTTGGGATCAAGTTGCACAGCTTAAATTGTGGCTTCACTGGAAGGTCTCCAGCGAGGACACCAGGCAGGACAGGATTTAAAGCGGGGAGGAAGGAGCCCTGAGGAAGGAGGTGTGCCTGTCCTCCTGTGGGCAGACAGCAAGGGGCCGGTGCTGCTGGAGCAGAGGGTGATGGGGGAAGTGGAGACACTGGTGTCTGCCCTCATGAACTTGCCAGCCCCAGAGCAGCAGTGCGGGATGCTGGCAATGAGGATGAATCAAATGATTGTGCCTGACGCACAAGGCAGCCAGCTGGAGTGAAGGGCTCCGCGAGAGGGGCACGGTGCTGCGCAGTACTGCCAGTGTGGGGGCTGCATGGTCAGGAGGGCTGGGAAGGCCCCCCTGAAGGGGCAGCGGGGAGCCAACCGAGAGAGCGGGCAGGGCACGAAGGAGGCTCCAGGAGGAGGGGCTGCTTCCCACGGAGCGGGTGGGGTGAGAGCTGAGCAGGAGGAGGGCCACTGGGAATGGTGTCAGGCAAGGAGGAAGAATCCAGACCACAGCGCCCTCTGGAACACAGCAGGGACTTGAGTCTTTCTTGGGGAGTAGAAGTGGATCGGAAAGCTGGGTGAGAGATGCTCCGTAGCCCAGATAAGAACAGCAATACTGTGGGCTAAAGAGAAGATGTGAATTCAGAAGAGTCACCAACCAATCTGAAAGGTGGCTGGGATTTGGAGGAAGGCAGATGAAGGAGTCAGGGATGAGCTCATGTTTCCAGCTTGTGGGAAGGTGGGTGATGTCTTAGTTACATTTCTCTTGTTGGTGAGACAAGATACCCGATGCCCCAAGTTAAAGGAGGAAGGGTTTATTTAGCTCCCAGTTTGTAGAGATTCCAATCCAGTCAGTTGGCTCCAAGGCAGGGTAGTGCATGGCAGGGGGGCACCCAGTCATGACTACGGAAGATGCAAAAGCAAGCAAGGGGAGAGGGGACAAGCCTCTTTCTGTCCCTTATATTGTATGCAGGCTACCCACCCTAGGGCAGGTGTAGCACTCACACCCTTGCCCCTGGCCAGAACTATGCTAAAGCAGTCAGTGTATGATTTACTAATCACACACCCTTAATCCAGCGTTACACACTTTAGATTCATCCACCTCTGAAAAAGCCCTTTGACCGCATGAGACTTTGGGGCGACATCTAGGCACAAGCCATAACAGGTGGATGGACACAAGATAAGTAGATGGAGGGGGTAGGTAGATGCCCATTACTCCAGTGGGCAGCACTGGAAGGAGCCAGTTTTGAAGAGGAGCTCAGAGGTGGGCTTGAGGTTGGCAGAAGTGTGGGAGCTGATGAGTTTAAT